TATAAAAAGCGGCAAATAAATGTGTACAAGTATTTGACGGTTGTTGAGCAAAATCGTAGGAAATACAATTGAGTTACTCGTGTATGACGATCTGCGAAAATCGGAACTAACTACTAAACCGCGTCGGCTTCTGTTTCCGTGTCTTATAATCGAGCTATTGGATGGAAAAATGTACAGGGTGGCCCTTTTGAACCGACTAATATAAGCCATACACAGTATATCCAGTGAATAATTTAACAATTTGTAGGATTTTTTTTTTTTGTTGGCGTCACAAGGCGAACAACATTGCAAACTAAACACAGTAGAACGTTTTTAAGGCGAGTATAAGAGGATTTTTGTTGTTGTTGTCGTTATTGTACTCAAATAATACACACGGCGCGTTTGGGTTTGACATTTAGGATATTTATAATATATTAATATATTATAATTTATATATGCTCATTAAAACGATTTATGTATATATTATATATTACAATTGAAAACCGTCTAATGTGTCTACGGTCACGGTTAGGTTTCACCGAAGAAAATAAGTTTTGTATTTTACATTTAAAAGTGTAGATGTCTTCCTTATTTTCAAACAACGGCGGTTTGCACGCGTACAGCTGTTAAATATGCTACAAATATAGTGTTGCGGCTATCTTAAGATAATTACTACAATAAAACAATCATTTTATTACTCATTATTATAATCGGACAACAAGACGGCCGAGTTTAAAACGTTTCGAAATTCTGACCACTCTCTGGCCAATTACCATGCTACACGTCAAGTTAAACGTTATATAATATAGGATCATTATCGCCATGTAATTTGACAAAACGTTAATTGTGAAGCGCTAAACAGATTAGCGACCGTTTTCCAATTTCGTTTCTAGTCTTCACTCTTTAGCCATCGTTCGAATAAGGCGACGTCATTCATTATTGGCTATTATTATTATTATTATTATTGTTTTGGTTGTTATCATTAGATACTGCTATTATTATCGTTACGCCAGCGTGAAGGAAGCCAATGCGCGTGTGAACGTGTACATAGTACAATAAATTATGGTTGTAATGTTTTCGCCAACACCAGTAGTGGTAATGTTAAAACAAAAAAATAATTAAACAAAAAGCAACGTAAATAAAAATAGGTAAGATCAAGAGTATAGAAACGATTAAATGCCAGTGACAATAATGTGACATTAAAATACATGTACTGTAAAATACTGTAAACACAGTAGGATTGGATTATATTTTATGTACAAATCTAGTAATTTTACAACACAGTACTGTACTGAAGTATGGAAAGAGTCACTACAGGCCACAAGGACAACACGTTGGAGATACACCGCACAGCTGTATATTGACTATAATTTTTATTTTACAAAATATTTACTTAATTTAGTAAAATAATTGGAATAAATTACACGATTTTTTATTTAGTTTAATTTACATATTTTGTTTACTATGATGAAGGTTGCCCTGTTGTCTTAGGTGTATTAAAACTTGATCTGTTATATCACTCATGTTGGATTAGGTAGATCACTTAAACTCTATATATCAGCACACTTATATTTTTAAACACCACACGCTGTACAGTAGTCAGTAGACTTATTTTATAAAAAAAAAAAAAAAACAGAATAAATAAATCGTTGAAATCCAAAAGCGATTATTTTTTTTTTTTAATAAGTACATAAATTTGTGTTTAGGTAATTTTCAAATTGCATTTATATTCATTATTCACAAGACAAAGGTTTAAATCATGAATACGACATAAAATTGGCAAAATTTGATATTTCTACAAAGGTTTAAAAACAAAAAAATGTTGCATGAATGAATTTTCCTTGCTCAGTACCCCCATTATGTACTCGTCAGAATTGCGGACAATACAATAAAGACATGATGTGAATTAAAAAATTAAAAAATAACCGAAAAAAAAAAACGCAATCTCTTTGGTACAAAAACCATGTGCATTAGCTTCCTAGTTAAGACGTTTGGCATTCATCAGGCTCGTTAACACCTGACAGAGACGCCATTATTGTAATCGTTGCGTTCGTGATCGAATTTTGTAAAAAAAAAAAATTAACGATGGATCGAAAAAACAAAATCGATCCGATCATTCAACACACTTTCCTATCCGACGACGACGACGACGACCGTGAAGGATTTTCCACAACAAAACATAAAAAAAAAATCATACAAACAGGATTCTAATAATTTTCACACACAATCAATTTTCCAAGTGCACCGGACGTCCTGTCCGCCAAAAACTAGTCGGTGTTATTATTATGCATTCATATTTCGGTCAACGCAAATCACACAGGAAACCGATAATAATCGCGTATGCAATGACAATTATTTTAAATGTAATAATAATAATAATAATAATAATTTGTAACGAGAACACGGCATTGATAAAAAATAAGAGCAAAATTCGGATACAACCGACACCGGGGCGGTTAGGAGGGCGTCGCACCGCCCATTTTTAAGGAGTAAGGTATAGGCAATTTTTTACAAAATCTTATTTTAAAGGTTAAACTGCGATGTGTAATTATTAGTTCGTTAACTGAGACTCTGTTTTGGTAGTTAATTAATTTTTTCGGACTATCACAGCTACCTTGAAAGCGATTTAAAAATGTTTTTGTCATCTCGACTTGTTTAAGCAGACTGAAAATAACTCGCTTAATTTTGCAATTAGAGTAAAAGCACCCGTTATAAAATTAAAACGGAACAATATTTCGGAGGGCAAGACGACGGTGCGTTTTTTTTTTCTCATTATTTTAAGTATAGCGCTCAATAAATAGTTTAGAAATAACGGCCGTTTTAACATTTTTAAATGACTGTGACTTTTGAAAAAATGAATTTTTTGAAATCACCGGTGCGACGCCCTCTTAAATCGACCCGTGGACAGTTTTTTTTATTTTCCCGCAGTCGGACCCGATGTACCTATACGTATAATACCTATAATAGTTTATATTTTTCATTGTTTTCGCAAATTATCGCGACGGACCAAATCGGTGAAAAATAAATACAGTCGCGTCTGTGACCGAAGCGGCAATTGCGCGTCCGGTGTGATTATGTTTGTATATATATATATATATATATATATATATATATATATATAAATAATTTTATTTCATTCCATGATTTTATTAGTTATAGATTATTTGGACGTCCGTGACGGCACGACGGTAATCGAGAAAGTACCCCGCGCTTAGGGAAACCGCAATTGTCAGCAATGACTTTTCTTTGCTGCTGTGGCCAAATATTATACATAGGTTTTCGGTTTCGACCGTTGGATTTCTATACCATTAAAAAGCGCCACGTTTTCCATTGTTCCTTCGTCCAATAGAGGGAATGTGTACCTTGGTCTGGGTACTGACGACAGGCGATTGAAAACCCAGTTAAAATGCCACTACCTTCCAATTGCTAAAATTGACATTAGGGAGACTAAAAAAAATTGTTGAAATCGGATGAGCCGCGTCCCCAATAATAATCGCCCTGTGATGTACCTAAAATTGAACCGGTTTGACTAAATTTTTTATCCGATCATTAGTTAAAAATTTAAATCAATTAATTACCAAAGTTTGAACGATAACCGCTAATGTATTATAGTGTTTCGATTAAACACTGTCTATACTGATGCAAATGTAATTCGATTTTCTAGATTGAGAGTCTACAAAAGCAAATACAACAACTTCTATACTGTAAAAGAACCCACTAACGAAGTATGATTTGCTTAATGAAATGCACAGACGGATTATTTGAAATAAAATTATAATTAGACCCGTTGCCACAGAGTTATCTTTTGCTTTGGTTTTACTTTGTTAAACAATTTGAAAAAGCCCTTTTTCTATTGATCACCATCGATATTTAATCGGTTTATTATTATTATTTTTTTTTTTGAGCAATAATGTATTGATAATTTATTGTTATAAATACATTAAAAGATTTGTTTTTCTCTAAAATAGAACAACAATAATCGTTTAAACGGCGTGCAATTTGTTATAATGGCGCAGAAAAATACTACGTCCGTTTTTGATGTACTTATAATAGAAAACGTGATTCCTTAACGCGCAGTATACATTTTACATATAATAAAGAAATACAAATATGGAAGACGCACGATAAGTCTGAAGAAAACACAATTGAATCATAAATCGTATGTCAAGTCATGAAAAATCGTGATAACGAAACGGACAAAAGTAAAGAATTGAAACTTTAAAGAGGATGCGTTTAATGTACTTGAAAATCACGATTGTCGATACTCAAACAATAGAAACCCAAACTATTTCCAAATATGAAATTAATTACCGTTCATTACAAATTATAATAAAATTTATCCTAATTTTGTATCAATTTTCAATTCGATAAACGAACGGTTAGTAAGTGAGAACGATGAAATGTATTGCCCCACTGTACGACACTTAGACAAAATGAAGGCGTCATGCCAACTTGTTTTGTAAGACTTGCAATCTTTTTCACTATCACAATATTGTAATATATTTTATAATTATATATTAGCTCTTTCATAACAAAGCCGACACGATAGCGTATCGACAAAAGGATATAATATTGTAAATTGTAATTATTATCCAAAGTGTAATTAGCATACAATATCATATACTCAATTATATGGTATTGGTTATTTGTATATAAAAAGCGAAACCGGTCAATTACATAACTTCAGTGTCGGTTATTATTTATGTTTGTCAAGTTATCAGTTTACATAAAAGAAAAAAAGTTACTTAAATTAATAGTGAAATATATATATATATATATATATATATATATAAAAATTATAACTTCTAGAATGGGAAATATTAATTAGAATAAAAAAAACAATTATTGACCAATGTCAAAAATCCAAGTTACACATTTTATTGGCTCTTGTAACTTATTACTGTCTAACATTGCAAGCATATTTCTTAAGAAAGTCTGGCACTGAACTAGAAATTTACATAAGCTAATAATTTTATTGATCGTATCATTAAAAAAACTTATCCGTTTGTATTGTTTTCCAGGCGTACAAACTCAAAACTCGTCCGACTTCCGTCCAGATAGCCAGAATAGCTGCATTTACAGTGGTCGGATGCACATTCATGCTGGGATCGTTTATGTTGGCAGCAGCTTATTTGCAAGCCAACGCATCTTGCTCGCAGTTGATGCACGCCGAAGCTCTTTTAAGACAAGTATGAAGCATATAATACAATACTTATCGTTGTAGGCACAACCACTATTAACCGAGTCAAAATGAAGAATACAATCTATACTCTATGGGATACTTCAGTTTCCAATGTTAAGCAAAAATATGTGACAACAATATAGGGTGTAGTCTTTATCTTGGGTTTAGTGGAATTTCAATGGATTTCGATCTACACGTACACTCCCCGTGAATAGAATTTTAATGGAACAACAAAGACGGCTACCAAAAAACGTAGGTGTATTTTAATTGCACTATTTAGTATACCTACTTGTAATACTAGTTTTGAAAACCGAGCTGCCTAACTTGACCGGCTCTGGATCGAATGAACTGAATGTTAATGGCCCACTGTATAGGGTCATTATCTAGGCAAGGAGCTTTAAATAGACTGTTTGGTAATTAATTTCATTCTCAAACGTTTTGATTTTTTCACAAATTAATAATGAAAACAAAAAATAAACTATTCCACGGTACATCCTGTTAAATACTTTTATAAACTGTTATTGTCACTAAAATTTGTTCAAAAATAACTGCAAGCTAAAAAAAGTTTTCATATTCAATTTTTTTAGTACATTATCAACTATTAAGAAAACTTTGCAGCCAAGAAAGTAAAATAATTAATTTTTTGTAAACATCATTATTTTATGAAACATTTCATAGTCTAATTTTTTTTTTTTTTAGTTAAGTAATGATTGAGGAGTTGAAATCAAAATTAAGACCAGATTTGAACTATTTCCAATCAATTTAGGGGGTGTACCCATTGAAATTCCATTAAATCCACAATAGGGAAACTTGTAGACTCAGGGTAATTGTGTTCCCCATTTATAAAAAATATCGTTTGAATTGTTTTTTTATCTAACCAATGTTAAATGGGTAACATTGATTAGATTGCCTAACCAAGCTTTAATTTGTTTATAAATTAAACAAGTTTGAATGTCTAGAAAAAAGTATAATTCTCTGCTTATTAAATAAAAGGGTAAAATTTTTGTTAATTAATTGAAAAACGCGGGTACACTTCTCACGATGTATCCTAATACAGAAATTATCTTAAGAAGTCTTCCCCGTCTCAAATCGTTTATTTCTTGAAATACAATAGCGACTTCTTTTCTATTTTTACTTTACTCGCTCTTTTAGCAAGGCAAGTTACTTTAATTGAGTTAAGTTATTGAATATTTATAAAACAAGCTACTTTCGTTGCACGGGGCGATCAAGTTGGTTTTTTTAATTTCATTTTTCATTGGGTTTACTAGGGGCAATATATAGGCAATATAAATAAACAAAATAATTTCGAATTAACGTGGAAACGCCATTCGATCAGATGCAAATTTATCGACTTATGCGTCTTGTCTTTGCAGCAAGTTTGTTTGTATATATTTATTTATTTTTGTATATATATATAGATAATATAAAGTTAATTTCAGACATGCAACGAAATCAATTTCGGTCGACCCAAAACGGATATTACTTGCACGTGTTATTATTTTCAATCGGATTTTGCAACGCAAGTATAAGCGTTATGCGCTTTTCACGATTTTCATTCATTTTCTTACCGTACAATAATAATAATAATAATAAAAACACCGTTTTCAACGCGAATAAAATATCGTTTCAAGTTTTTCTACACAATATATTTTTTTACAGGTATGTATTATCGTCGCACGGTGATGCAACCGAGTGTGTCTGGAAATTACATTGCGTTGGAATTATCGGTATAATATTATGTGTTTGGATAGGTTACGAATGACATGTTTTTGCCAAAATATTACATTGTGGAAATCACACAACGACGACAGTCGTCTCGCAATTATATTATATTATATCTTTATACCTTTCCGAGCAAAAATAACACATGACAATACGATTATTGTTAAGACCCTCCTCTAATGCGTCCCCGCGTACCCAGAGGTACACACGAACAATAATACAAAAAGCGTAGGTAATGACATGTGAGAACATGATATGTACCTGAAATTCTCTCAGAACGGATAATATCACTTTCTTTGGGTTTATTTCTTCGTCCGGCGACCACAGTTTTTTCCAGACAGACACAAGAATAGCCCGACTGCTTTCACTGTACGATCTCCACGCACAGTCGGTGAAACTCGACAACGGCTTCCTAGTTTTATTTCATGTTCTTGTCCGTACAATCCATCGATCGTAATGATGGATAATATCAACAGCTAAAAAACACCACCGGATCGATTAACAACGGTCAAATGACAAAGCGAATTAAAATTTAAAAAAAAAAAAACGGAATCTAGAAAATACATAATACTACACACCAAACTAGGTGGGTAGTAGGAATTAAATGTCTACACACACAACTCCAGGATCAGAACCGTGTTATAGGTATAGGAATCGATCAACGTTCGAAAATAGCAGAGTAACGCTTAACTGTTGGTCGACCATATATTTCATCTATAACTTATAAGAGTATAACATGCTGTAAACATAGTATGTATTTTTAACACTATAAATATTTAAGTACATTGATTGAGCGTTTTATAAACTTGAACATAATTAAATAGGCGACTTACAAAAAAAAAAGCTGAACACTTAAAATATTAACGAAATATGATCTTTTCGGACATTTCTGGGAAAGGTGTAGAGCAGGCCGCATGTTGTTTCTCGACCAACGCATAGGTGGTATTCAATGCATTATTGTTCAAGTGACAATGTATACACCGCTGAAAAATGCAAAATGGTCAAAATTGTATTCCGATTAAACCGAGTAAGACCTAAAAGTAAAACGTCGTGCGAGTAACGACCATAATACAGTTTATAGATAGGTACAATAAAAAAACAACGGGGACTAATCGGTTAAAAACTGTCCGTTTGAAATATCACTGCAGAATATACACAACAATAATAATGAACTAATATGGGTGAAACGTACGTGCCAGTAAAGACTGTTGTTCGGTGTAACCGACCATATAAGTCGGGGCAAAAAAATATAACATAGGAAATGAATGAGTTATGAAACTCTCGACTAGAATTGTAATATACAATTCGAACACGTATAATATTTGTATGCGTACACGACACCGTCCGACATAGTACTCATGCATTAATTGTTTTTATATATAATATATAACGTGGAAAAAATATAATACTATACGGTAACGCGAGCCGTGGTTAATCAAATCCACATCATGTATGTACTGAATTAACATTTAGCCCAGCACCACCACCCAGGAGTTGGCAAAAAAAAAAACCCTGTGGTTTTTCTCCCAAAGTAACAGTTTTTTTTTTTTTTTGGTTTTCAGAGCGAAGAAGCCGCCGACCGTCCACAATTCCAAGCCCTTGTCGACCCACTGCAATCTGACGAAAGCACGGACTCCAAACAGGAAGAACTTCCGGTTCACCAGCACACGGCCAGGAACGCCGAACAACAGCAACAGACCTCCAACAACGAACAAGCGGCTCCGGCCCAAGTTCAAATCAAGTTGCCAATGGAACTGGACTTGGAAGAAATTATCGGAGTGAGTTCGTTAAGGAAAATCAAAACAGACCCTCGAGTTTCCAGGTTATCTATAATTAATCTCCCTCGTCCACTTTTGGATGGAAATTTTGTAATAGAAGTCCCACAGACTATTGGAGCTTCGCACTAAGTTCTCTTTTAATTCACAATAGTCCTGTTACTTACATTTGGTCCAACTGTCGACGTGATGTCTATTCTAATCTAACTTTAATGGATGAGCTTGAATCAACCGGGATGTTTACCACCTCTCAAACTCAAAACAGAAATGAGGGACCCAACTAAAAAATGGAAGCCCAAATGCTAGGATTTCCGGAATAACCCCGGTGAAAATACAAATAGTATACTAGGAGTTCTATTTGTAGAGTGGATGGAGGAAAGTGATAAGAGAGGATTTGGTGGCCAGGAACGTAGGCAAACATACGTGACGTCATCATATGATTATGCCCTTGTTAGGTTCATTATGTACCCTATGCACCCCCCTATTAACGACTAAAGGCTACGACGTTTGACTGATAGAACTTGCTGGAGAAGAACCAACGGTCTCGCATGAACTGTGTGGTGGAAAAGAAACGCGCCGAAGAAGTGATGGACCATCAGCCGAAAACCCTAAGACTGCCATTCGGCGTCAACATCACCACAGATCCACGTTTCGAACATGTCACAGGCGAACGGTTGAGCATCATATGCGAAAGCGGACACGACGAAAGGTAAACATATTAAAATATTAAAGGTAGGTAGGTAATATTTGTGAAGTGTCTGGCAATATCAACATATACCGCGTTCAACCGCCATTCATGAAAAAGCTCAAGATTTGCTTGAATTTGTTAACGTTTTTGTTTTTATTTGTACACATTAGGCGAGCTCCTAACCCGATGGAACACATGCAACCGCAACCGTCGATAATGATGCCCATCCCGATGGGCGCCAACCAGATGACTCACATGCCCAACATGATGGCACCGCCGTTGCCGCCGCCGTTCCAGCACCAGATGCCGCCCAACCCTCACCACCAACACCAACACCACCACCAAGGAGGCCCCGTGCCGTTGGCCATGATCGCCAGGATCAACGCGGACATTGACAACCAATTGCAGATGCAAGAACAACAGCAGATCGAAGAGCACATCATACCGATTTTCCAACAACTGTTGCCGGAACTCAGATCCATGCCCGAACAACAAGAACAGCAACAGCAGCAAGCCCAGCAAGAACAGAAACAGGAGGTCGAAGACAGGGGGGCGATGCCCAACAAAATCCTGTACCATCCCGCCATGCCCGAGGGAAGAGCTTTGTACACTGTAGCCATATCCGACAAGTCGAACGGCGAGGCACCGCAGATGGCACATCAGTCCATGCATCAGCCTGACGGTATGCGCCAACAAAACGTACCGTCCTTCTTCCAAAGGAGTCCCATTCACGTGCCAGTTTCATCAATGGGGATGGCACCTAGTGCAGACCAACAGCAAGTCGTTCACCCTGATAACTTAGAATCAGAGCAAAAAACTGAAAATCGCCCACACTGTGAGTATAACCAATAAAGCAATAAAATCAATCATCAATGGCAACTACTAAAACTTGGGCCGATCTTAGGCATTATTTAAAAATAAATAAAACAACATTTTACTTATATTTCAATGAATTTAAATAACAAACTTAAAAAATGTTCAATTTTCTCTAAATAATTGAAATAAAAATGGACAAAATTATTTAAATATAAACTAGAATAATAAATACAATTGTATTTTTTTTATAAAAATTACCAAATAATAATTTCAAATACATTCTTATTTGGACGAATAATTAACAATAACACTTTATTTGTACACTACAGATTAAAATACGAAAATAATCATTAGTACTTTCTATAGAATGGGTGGAACTTTTTTAGGGGTTTTAGATTTAACGCCTCATCAAAATAATTTGAAAAGTTTTAAGCAGGCTTTATTTGCAGGGGAGAGAATCAAGTAACACAATTATTGCATGTACATTAAATTCATTTTGATACTTAATATTTTTTACCCCGAGTTGGCAATAGTCTGTTTTTTTTTTTAATTACCTGACCCAGATAACTGTTTTAATAAGTATGCATGGTTTTTTTTTGTCATTGATTTCAGCCCACATTCCATCCCCATTAGCTTCACCGACTTAATAAAATACCATATATCTATCGTTGTAGACCAGTCACACTTAGTCACATTTTGACTGCGGTAACAAATGTACGGCAGTCACACTTTATTTAGGTAGTATTGCAGTTAAACAATAATTGTTTTCTCAAATAGTTCTATACAAATATTTACCAATCGTTTAAATATTAAATAATCTAAAACTTTAAAAATAAAAATAAAAGTTTTTGGGCAAGAAGATTATACAAACAGTTGTTGGTGACAAAACTTTTACTTACCGAGCTGGTGATAACTGTTGTTATTGTTGTTTCAGACGTTCATCCACGTTCGGTCTGATCAAATGTGCAAGACGACAGAAAGGACGCCAATGTTGATTTATTTTTTATGAAGCCTACATTTTTTTTTTTTATACATATATATGATAATATTATACCATACATTGTTATTGTTTGTTAACAGATTGTAATAATAAGTCGAAATTGACATTAGATTTACAATAATCAAATAACAATTAAGCTTATGCGTGGAATTTATATGGAATTAGTCAGCGTGAAGGATTATATTATTTGACGACAAAATAAAAATACTGCAGTATATTGTCAAACATATAAAATATATTGATCTTGTTTACATTATAATTTTTTTTTTTTATTTAAGATTTGTTAATGTTAATTGTGATAGTGTTATATAAAATTTAGTTTTGTCTAAAAACACACTGCGAGTATTTATTACATTTTAATTTGATTTAAAAAAAAAAAAACTACACAAATTATAGCCCTATTATTTAACAGTATTTTCGAGTTTCCTAATATTAACATTTATTAAGAAAAAATCTATTAGAAATTACGATAAAAATTTGTTTTAACAAATAACAAAATTATTTAACACATTTACAATTAGATACAAAAGATGAACAAAAGTAAGAGGTTGTTTTAAATATGGTCGTCGTCATTCAGTTCTGCCTAAAATAATACAAGAAAAATTATGTTAATAAGTTTAAAAACAAAAAATTATTATAAACGGTTACATTCTAATCAAATCTGAATGAAAGTTATGAATTTATATATGTGGGTTGTCTAATATTTTCTGATTGACAATTAATTATCACAATATTTGGTTGACATTAATTTGATTTAAATTTCCTATTTAACTAGTTATTTTTTTTTTTATTTACAAGGTAACTTTATGATGAGTATAGAAATTAAAAACTTTTCATACTCATATATATTATATTAACCATAATTTGTTTGGAAAAAAAATTAGACGATTAGACTAGGTTGAACATACTTATTTTTCAAATTACTTTATTCAATTAAGTTAGTAAGTGTATAGCTAATATTAACTTACTAACATAAACCTGAGCATTTTTAATTTAAATAAAATAAGCATTTCTTTGGATATTTGTCTAAGTGAAAATACAATTTTACTAATTATTCGAGATTTTATTTAAATAATGTCTAGATTTAACTAACATAATATTGTAACATGTTAAATATGTATATTAAATTTAAAGTAATTCACTTCAAAGTATTATTCCGACTTACTTGAATTTAAATTTTTGTCATATCTTTCTTGTAATCTATACAAATAAGTTAGAGCGTGAACATTTCCAATGTTGATCAGCTCTTTTATCTTGGGGTCATCGATTAAATAATTAGCTCTATAAATATAATATTGAAATGTCAAACAACATAATAACAGTAAAAATAAGTTTTGAAAAAAAAAATTCTAAACATTATTTTTTTACACTAAAATTAGATTTGTAATTAGAAATGAAAAAATAAATCTTACAATTGTTCTGCGTCGTAAGGCGATAGTGAATTACACATTGAACATAGAACCCAAAAGAACTGTTTGAAAGGATAATCCAAAGTATCGTCCATAGCGTATTGTATTCCATGCCGATGGACGTAAGTCGACACTAAACGCTTGCCGATTTTATCATTGCACTGATTTATTAGCCGAGCTATTATGGAAGCTATTTCTATCTGTCGGATTGTTCAATAATAAAAACACAATTACTATAAATACTAAATTTACAAATTGCATGTCGACAGTACTGACTATACTAATTAAAAGTGTATACTCACCACGTCTTTGAATTTGATGTCTTCAAAATTTTCGCTCTCCGAAGTGATGTTTTCAAACATGTACACCAAAAATATGTCGATGATGTTGCATAGTTTATTTCCCGTTTCTCTAGTACAAAACATATTGAAAACGGGCCTCAACGCTTGCTCGAAAATATCCTAAAATGTAAAATATAACATTGATTTATCATTACATAGAAGAGCTAAATTAAAATAATACAGACCATTTGAATAAATTGCAGTAACGTGATTAAGTGACTTATGTCGATCAACTCGTCTTGAATCAATCCAACATATATTTCGAGTAACTTTATTGTGTTCACATCATCATCAGATTCTAAATTTCAATAAAGATAGTTAAAAAAAAAAAAAGTCTACCATATTAAAACTCTATTGAAAGCAAAAGTAGACAAGTACCATCATTTTTGGACACGTTGAACATAAACGCTGTTAGTATATGATTTTGATTGCTGTCAAGTTCGTACGGCTTCTGAATGGAATTTTGGATTCGTAAAAACTGTTCAACAATTATAAACGACTAAAAAAAAAAAAAAGTAATTTTAATAATTTTTTTAACTAATTTGTGATGTCTAAATTTTAATATTTACTATGCTCGAATTCAGAGCACACGTTTGGTTTTGAAGCAACTCCTTTTTTCCAAACATGTTAAAGTAATTAGGAAAATTTCTATTTATTTAAAATATCACATTAATAGATTTATTTTTTTGTTTTACAATTATTTGAAAAAATAAATTAAAAATATTCTGACCGATTCGCAAAGTTCGAACACTTGTGCATCGTAAGTTTTCATGACACCAAACATACATTCTATAAACTTGGCTGCATCGTCTTCAATATCAGATTCAGTTCTCAATTTGTTTTTCAATATTTCAAAATATGCATAAAACGCAAACTTCTATTGACAAAGTAAAAAAAAAAAAACAATAAAATTAAAAAAGAAAAATTGCAAACAAACCAAAAACGTTTAAGTAAATATAATTTTTGTTTTGTCTATTATTTTTTAAATTATACTTTTCGTATCAAACACAAAAAAAAGTCAAACAAAGTAAAGCAAACATTGAATGACTTACTGAAACAACCAAATTATTTTGAGAATCCTTTAAATTTGGTATGTAATACGACAAGTACAATAACGTATTCAGCTCTTCGGGTATTTGATTGTATTTCGCGAGTGACCAAATTCTGATTAAAGCCAATTTCTGGCACAGCAAGCTCGGTAAAGCCTAATAAATAAAAATAATAATTAATGTGCAATTGCAAAATAATAAGAAACGACAACAAATTTACCGAGTTTTCTTGGTGATGCATTATAGTTCCACTTTTTATTACTTCGACATTGACACGAGCTGTATTTTTAATATGTTCTAAACAAAAGTTATACTCCAAGGGCTTAAAACATAATGATATTGAATAAATGTTTCTCGAAACCATTTCTAAAAGAGTCGGAACATCGTATGTGTTGTAAAATATAGACAATTGCTCAAGTATAATAGGTATCGCCTGAAATAAAAAAATTCAATTTAAGAGGACGCTACCCAGGCCATTTCTAAAGGAGTAAAGTATAGGCAATTTTTCGAAAAATCTTAAATTAGAGTTTGAACTATATTATATACTTATTAATACAGTAATGAGGATACTTTATTGATTGCCATTTTTTTCGTCAGACTATCACAGTCACTTCTATAGGATGAATTACAATTTTTTCCCCATCAAAACTGCTTTGCGCGGGACAAGAACGTGAGGGCAGTATTAACAGTAGATTTACCAAATTTTCACAATGTATAGAGAAGAACTTTATTGATACCTATACTTAATATTTTTTTATAAGCAAATGAAAATTGAAAAAAAAAATAGAATCTTCACGAAGAAATAATTTTAATTGTGATTAAGTTATCAAAAAACTAAAATCACTACCCCGTAAATAAAGTTCTTCTCTATCCATTGTAAAAATTGTATACGGCTACTGTAAATACCGCCTTCACATTCTTGTCCCCCGCAAAGCCATTTTTTTGCGGACAAATTACGGGTGGGTAGCGTCCTCTTAAGACAAATAAGTAAGTTTTAATAATAAGTATAAGAGTCCGATTTGTCTAAAAACAAATCGAAATTCAATTTGTGAAAGTTTGTATAAATTTAAAAAATAACAAACAGATCAATTTTAATCTAATTACATTAAATTTCAAATTTTAATTTAGAAACGAGTTTTAAAAATAATAAAAAAAACATTTTTCCTTATTGGAAAATAGGAATTTTCAATAATTATTAATTTGCAACAATTTTTTGTACATAAATTCTAAACAAAATGGTCTAACTATGAGTGTTTTTTTATTTTTACAAACGATACTTAATCCCGGATTGATTTTTTTTAATCAAAAAATAATAATTTAAAAATGACAAGTAGGTATTTGAAATAAACTTCTACTAAATTTTTTTTTCTCATTTTATACGTAATTGTAAGTAGTAAAATTAAAGTTCCAAACATATGTTTTTTGACTTACCGTTTTGTCTAATTTATAGTCAACAAATTGCATTAAAACTAATAGTGAAAACGCATAAGTGTGCAACTCACAGTTTTTCATTTCATTCAACAGACATGATAACATACTAGCGGTAAATTCTCTTTTCTCCACCTTATTGATGTGGTTCTCCGATATCTGAAAATAAATAATCAATTCGTGTAAGTGTTATAATTTTTTTACTTTACGTTTTAATTTTTTTTAAGGCAACGGAATAATATATTCAAAAAAATGACATCTGTTTATTTTTCATATTTTTAAAATTTTATCATTTTTCCACTCAGCTGTTCAATTGTTAAATAATAAATAATAAAATGGCTGACAAAAATAGTAATTATTTTATTATTGAGATATAATATATTATGTAGTTTTAAACAACTAAAACTATTAATTTTAATTTATACATTTTTTTAAAACGATAAACTAAGTATCACATATTTTACCAATACGAATCATAGTAGGTGATAATTATTAAAACAAATTTACTTACGTCCATAACAAATCCCATGTTGGCCGTTTTCAATTCAGATCCGACACCAGTAATTTCTCTTTTTACTATGTACATCAACAGAGTGGCTAAAATGCATTTTTCATTTTGATCTAAGAAATTTTCTGTACTCAACACTTTGGCTATGAGCTTATAGTCTTTGAGGTCGGGACAAATTTCATAAATAGCATCGGAGAAGAAAATCTTGGCGATCGCAGACAAATGTTGTGGAACTCCACTTAAAAATGTTACCAAAAATTTCAAACGGTCTTTACGGTTAGGTTCTGTATTAACGAAATGTTCGAAGAAATGTTGGCCAGCGTAACAAGCAATGTTCGAGTTTTCAGAAAAAATCAACTCTAAAGCTATCGATTCGATTGTAGATGAATATTCTTCGGTATCGTCACTGAGGAAAAATTTTAAAAACATGTATTAATTTGTAACGACATAGAACATTTTTTCAAAAAATGATTAACCCATTCATTGAATGTAATTTCTGTATAAACCCAATGGTTTTTTTTTTCGTTTTCAACTTTGTAAAATATTTAAATAGTTACCTATCTAATATAGAGTAAGCCTTTAAAGCGGAAATGGCTACGTCTTCATTTTTAGATAATAACAAATTTGTTAAAACTGACAAAAGTTTTTGGATCAGACGCTTCACATCTAAATCGTTATAATGATAGGTAAAAAGGTATTTGCAAATCTGAAAACAAAAACATAATTCTATCCAAATTATTACACTGATAAAACTAATGCAAGCTATAATTACTGATAATATTTTAAAAATAATGTCAAATTTAAAAATATTTTTTTAAAATTTCTCAATAAATAATATTGTATTAATACACATGAAGACAAATCACACATCTAACTTAAGAATGGTCCTTTCTAGAAAAATTCTCGTCGCAAAAAGAGTACATTTTTATTTACCTACTTGTTAAAATAAATTTATTATTCAGTAATCAACTAAAAAAAATTATATTTGATTAGTTTTTATTTAAGTTTTTTACATTTTATGTTCATAATTAAAATAAGTTACTTTTTTTTTTTAAATTCGTTCAAACACCAAGTTAATTTTATTTGTTAGTTTTTGTTTTAATAAAAATGTACATTAATAATTTCCAGGTCTGCTTCTAACTAAGATTTTTTGTCTACACTAAATTGTTGTTAAACTAATATTGAAAAAAAAAACTATTATAATTAACATTTAATTTTTACCTTTAAAGCGATATTTTGCACGCAACAACTTTTATCACACAATGCGTAATAAATATGTTTCCAAAATTGATTAATAAAAAATGAGGGATTTATTTGCAACCATATCTCAAGTTCTGATAGTACAGCTTCTCTTATTACATATGAAGAATCTCTGTAGGTTTATCAGTTTAAAAGAAAAATTTATTAATTAACATAAATAAATGAAAAAGTACTAAAGTGGACAGTCGTTAGAACAAATTTTTTTTCTGCAAGTAAAAGCCTTTTATTTATTTTAAACAGAACTATCCAATGGCCTAAAATATCTTTAGTAGTAATTTTCAATTAAGTTGTAAAAGGGTTGTTGCAAACCGTTATACTAACTTCCATCTCTTAAACATGAATTCTTCCAAAAGCTCTATAACCAGTCCATTTATCAGTACTGTTGATTCGGATTGCATCAAACCAGTAATTATTTTTAAGCCTGAAGACAACATAATTTAAAATATTATTAAAACTTAAGTGGGTTATTGTATTTACACTATTTACTAATGATGGGAATCCGAAAATCTGGATTTGTAAAAAAAAAACACTATTTAAGTCACTTGAAAATCTTATAAATATTAAATACTATTACAATACAAAGATGTGTACCTAAATAAAATTTGTTGATAAATTGTTTTAAAAAAAACTTAACTTATTCTATAAAATGCTTTTGAATTTTGGATTTTCGGATTTCAACAAATCCGAAATCCAAAAGCAGTTTTTCTTTTTAGTGTTTTGTTTTATTTTTACATATTTATAAAAAATAATTTTACTTAAGTACACAGCTTTATATTGTAAAATTTTTAACACATATGATTTTTAAGTAGCTTAAATAGCGTTTTTTTTTGTGAAAATCCGGATTTTCGGATTCCCTTCACTACTATTTACACATCTTGAGGTTACTTCCATTTAAATAGATTCATTGGTCTACCAACGTTTTGGAATACTTGCACATTCCATCTTCCGAAACGTTGCCGCCATGATGTGTAAATATAGTGTAAACATATTTAAAATTGTTTTTAATTTATTAGTTTAATTATTAATACATAATAATTCATCAAATGATTTACCGAAATACGTGGCCAAGAGCCTCGGTCCCGGAAACATTGATTGCGACATTCTAACAAAAATATCTCGCAAAAAAATGAAGTAGTTTTTACATTCAGTCGAAGACAAAAACAAACTGCTGTGCTGACTAAAGATAGAATTCAGAAATTGTAATGTTTTAATTACACTTGGTAATTTCTTTATTGTTTCGGCCGAGTGCAACCTGCCGTTGGTGTTCTGTAAAAAAAGAAATATTAATAATAAAAAAACAATTTGCTACTTTGGGTTTAATAACAATAATAATATACTAAACAAACCACGGCATTATTTAAAAACAATTTTATTTAAATAAAAATTCAAATAATTATTAAAAATAAAAAAGCAAATTATTTTAAATACCTGGTTTATTTTATTTTTACATATTTATTTAAATAATTTTGAATTGAAATTGTTATTTAAATTTGATGAAACTTATAGTCAAATATTTGTTTTAAATAAAAATAATATTTTTGTTTATTGTTTATTTTATTTATAAACATCATTAAATTATTATTATTTTTAATGGGAAAAACTCTTCTGGCTTTGGTTTAAAATTTTATGGTAATTTATTGTCGAGAAGTTAAATTTTGTGGCAACGCTATTTCTATTAATATATATTTTAACCATTTTTAAACTGTATTTTAATAATAGTGAGAGAAGGAGTGGGAAAGTGGTTTGGAGCTCACTGTCGCGGGTTTGACACTCGGTAACGGGCGCTCTCTTTGCCAGGCGAGAAGTCATCTGGTAAAAAGAAGCCGATATCCTTCTCTCTGAAACCGGACTGACGACTCGTCCCAAAAAGCGAATTTGTCTAGAAATCATCTCATGATAGCAACGTTGGACCTTCAAGGCCGGTTAAGGTACATGATTATTGTAGCGTTCTATACAAACTTTATCTTGCACAATGTTAATGATCCCGGATGCAGAAATTAAAAGTTAAAAAATATGAGCAAGAATTAATTTTGAATATCAACTTACTTCTTTGGTTTATTTAGAACAGTTTAAGTATTTAATTTTTAACATATATTTTAATTTATATCATCCATTTTTGTGGACAAAAATGTATTTACAATAAAACGTCTCAAGTCTTGTAGTGATTGAATTACTTAAAATATAAATTTAAACTATAATTTTTTTTTATTAAAAAACCCAATCCACAAAAATATTTCACTCTCATGCTAGTGAAATATTTCTTGAGTGACCCTAAGTTTATATCTATCATAAACCCTATATATAATATCTATATCGGGGACCGTAGGGCTAAAGAACATTTTTGCAGAAAACACAAGAAAAAAAATTATTTTCTCCAAATATTTTTAAAAATGATGGTTTAAAGTTAATTAAAATTCAGTCACTCAAGACAAAAAACATAACACAGTGTGAAAAGTGATACCAATATAAAATCGGAGGAAAAGAAGTGTTAATATTCTGCAAACACAGAAATAAAATAAAATTACCAATGTATTCAGACAGTTAGTTATTTTCATATACATCTCGTCGGAGTTGAAATTTGTAATGTCACTAGTGCAAACTTCTATGTCTAGGCAATCGACAAGAACAGCTAATAGTTTTATTGTTCCAATCCTTGGATTTTCCTGGAATACATCAACCCATTTGTTCACTATCTGAATCATCTAAAATCAGTAGAACAATTTTAAGTAATAACACAAAAATTACATTAATTTTACAAATAATTATTCGTGTAATTTAAAATGATAGGCAATTCCATTTAAAACTTTATATTTGAATAAAAAATAAAAACACATCATTATAAAAACCAATTCTTTTTCAGCAATGCATTAATACTTTTGCCGACAAATAAAAAATATTAAATGTAATAAAAAAAACCAGTCATTTAAAAGTCTAAGTTTATTGATGAAACTTCCAATCAAAATTTTAACTGAATTTTATATATCAGCAAAATCATTTATGCATACCTGAGAAAGTTACATTACAATCATATGTTTTTATTTTTTTTAATACTCTCTTGTTTTTTACTTAGTGATCATTTAGACTGAGCTAACGAAACATTTTGTTGGCAGATATTGATTTTGTTGTTACACTAATACTATTTGCTATAATTGTATAAGTGGCGGTATTGCTGGCGCATCATAATAAAAGTTTTGCCGTATTCGTCCAGAACCGGGGTTGCTTACCTCTATGTCTTGATTACTTGTACTGACCAAGTCCGCAATACTGTTTGATGATAATTTAATTGATGACGATGACTCTAATATACATCAAAATAACACATTTATTGTTGGCATCACAAATAAAAAAAATAAATTGTTGTCCAAGCATAATACTACAAAGTACTATGCTATAAGATTTCCTTCAGAAATTATCGTCGCCAAGTTTCTAAAAGTTTCCTGTTAGTTTGGCGACAAGTCATTAAATTTTAATAAACAATTAAAATGTATCAACTGTCATATCAACCCAATACTATCCGTTTGGGTAATGAACGATATTTTTCCTTCACACCATTATTGAAAAATATGAAATTTAATTAACAATTAACGTTGTTTAATCTGATCAGACTTACCGTTGACAGCCATGGTGAAATGTAGTACCTTTCTACTGCAACTGTACTTCAAGTAATACTTTTCTTCTTTTGTTTTTTTATTACATAGGCTGTTCAAAATGTGTAGTTGCAATAAACAGTATAAATCAACGAGTAATCAAATACTATTTATTTACGTTAATTTGTCCATTACGGATTACCAACTAATTCAAATTTTTATTATACACTTTTATTACTTTAAACTTTTGTCACTAAACGACAGATTCAAAATTTCAATTGAACTTGCAGTAAGAGACCAAAATTGCTAGAAACCGGTAAGGACTAAGGATACATAACTATGGTGATTGGAGAGTAGACACTGCATTCGGCAGCCGAAAGCCCGAAACGAGACTATGGCGATTTACAGGTTAACCAACTTAATGCAAGTCTAACGTCGGCCATTTATAATTTTATGGTAACAACAATGTTTCTAACCATGGTCTAGATGTTGTCAGTGCGGTGTAAACTAGTTTAAATTGGTTCAATTAAAAAGGCAACTGGCAATTCATTTGTTTTATTTGGGGTGTGTAGTATATTATTTTGTTTTGCAAAATATAACTTCCAAAGAGTATATTTTGTAATTTGTTGCAAGTATTTTTTGGAACAAAAGTCTACTGGGAAAAATTATTATTTAATATAAATTATATTTCTTTTTTGACACAAAGGATCTTTGGAACAAGAAGAAACAAACGTTGGATTAAGTATCCCAAAATGTTGTTTCTGACAAATGTAACGTCCAAAACAAAAATGTTAATAATATGTTAGGTAAATGTATAATTGTTTTTTTTTTTGTACAACACAATGTGCCCATAATTCATTTCTTTTAGAAATCTAAAATTCATTTGACCGGTTCTTTATTTCTTTGAGTATTTTTTGGTCTGTTTGTCTGTGACTTTTTTATGTTTGAAAAGATCAACGTATATTTACTAATAAATTATTGTTCTAATCGATTTTCTAAAAGCGTAATTTGTATTGCACTAATGAGTACCTAATGACAATTTACACTTGGAACAGGTTGGAAACCGATATTTAATATGGGGCAAAATATAGGCAATATTTGATACAAAACGGTGTTGAATATACCTACTATTTTTCCCGTGTATATAATTTTAATATTAGCTTTAACTTTAATTTTATAATGATTTTAGACCAATAAATCCTTACAAAATGTCGTCTACTTAGAATGGTCTGATTTCAAATTAGTTAACATTTTCCAATTTGTTGGTAAATAATTATAAAGGAGTGTTAAGAACCGATTAAAAAAAAATTCAGTTCTATGCAGTTAAATTAAATAATTTTATTAAATTGGTTGATTTTTTGAAAATTTAATCGTATAATTTTTTTTTTCGAAAACAGCAAATAATCTAAAATTAGTTTTTATTTTTATAAAGTTAAAATCGGACCGACCTAAGTAGTCGAAATTTTGTAAAACCAGATCTAAATTGTCATAAAAATAATGATTTTTGTTTTTATTCTAAGTTCTAGGTTGGTAGGTGTGTATTATAGTATTTAACAAACTTATAGCAATTTGATTTTTATATTTTAGCATCTAATCTTTATTTATTCCATATTTAATTAAATATGTATGTATTTAGACCATTTCACCTAGTATAGTAGTAACTAGCAAGTATTACATGTAATATCTATTCTTTCTTAGCGAGATATTTACTTTTCATTATCTAATCCTGTATGTTTATAGTAATTGTAGTGATTATATTTACTAAAAAGTTAAACAATACACTATTACTTATATTACTTACACAGTCACTTTACACATTTAATTATACATAAGTTGGTTTACTGCATGGGAAAAAATATGAACCGTTGTAATTAATTAATAATGGTGATGGTTTTTAAAGAAACAAAAATATATTAACTGGAAACTTAAATTGTGTCCGCGTGTTCCCAAAATTACTATTTTGAGAAAATACCGTTTATATAAAAAAAAAACGGCAGTATATTTTGCCTATCACCAGTGCCCAAAATCTGTTTTAAAATCTGAATAATATATTGTATTCAATTTAACGCTACGACGTATCTTTAAAATTATGTAATATAGTGCAAAATAGAGAACTGAATTAAAAACAATATTTATTAATTTATTTGATAGAGTTCAGTAATTAAAAATAATTACTTATTTACAAATTTTTGTCTTATATTTATCGGCTAAATGATTATGCATTTCTACAGTTCGTGGATGAACCCAATTTGTAGTATTCTAAAAACGTTTAAAATACAAAATACTTATAATTGTATACTTTTACTGAAATACATAAGCAATTTTTATTATTTTTAAAAAAATATACACATGTTTTATTCAATAAATACATTTTTTATTGGTATAACTAAGATATTGTTTTACACAAGTATTTAAAATAAAAAATATATTCCGTTCAATAAAATATTAAGATAAAGGTTTTAACGAAATTAATTTTAATACTCGTATTAACAAAATGTTCATCATTTCCGTGTCGAGATAGTCCTTGTCTCAGCATTAGAAATTATCACAAATATAAATATTTTGAAGCAATAAAAAATTGACACAATGGGAGTTTCTGATTGGGAAACTTGAGGGATGACCGTTAGCGGGCCTCTAAAAGACATTGTTTGTCCTTAAGAATATTTTTATTCTTATGTAGAATTCCTAAGAGATAACACCAGGATTCACCGTGCTAGAGAAATTATAAGCCAATAGAACAAAAAAACTAGTATGTGCATTATTGTGTGAAAGTGAGTTTTCAAATTGGCCGATTTAGTGAAAAATTCGTTAATTATCTGTGTATAACAAATATATTTTACTACTTACAAATACTACTTACTTAATACCTTTTTTCAAGAATATTAAACAAATTGTAAAAAAAACGTGTTTTTACGAAACCGGTAATTTTATAAATAATTTATATATCCTCCTCGACTACTGAACCTTTAAATTAATCTAATTTATATTATGGCTATTTTGGATTTTATTTCTATAATTGTGTCACTTTCTAATGTTTTACATTGAGTTAGGATTTCATCAAATACAATACACCCTCTCACCCACAGTGCTTCGATAGCCTGACATGTTATATTGTTTAATGTTGGAAACACGACAAAAAAATGCCATTTTTATTAAATATTTGTGAGAAGTAGTGTTTTTTAAACGTTTCCATAATAAATGGGAAAAAGCCTACTTTTTACCTAAACACGTGTTGATATCAATATTTTTGGGTGATTTTTATTAATTAACAGTCCCCTGAAATACTGAGGTCCTTTTTGAAAATAGGTCAAATATACACACAAACATTGAAAAATCGTTGTCAATAATTTAAAAACTTAACAAATTTCTAAAATACTTATAAGCTAAATTTCAAGTTTTTATTTGTTAGCAAAAAAACTTAGTAAAAATGGTCAGTAGATAGTAAATGAGTTCTTAATGCGATTTTTACAAATTATGACACTAAAAATATATTGATAAATTTCAACAGGGTAAGTGCTGCTTTAAACTAGAGTTCAATTTTTAATTTAAGTTATATGAAAGTAGCATAGGATTGCTTATTATTTTTTTTATTACTTAATTGGCATTCGTCCAAGGAAATATTTGATCGTAATGTAATTTTATCGTTGATTCATAGGTATTTGTGTTTGCCTATCATTGGCAAACGTCAATATAGACCAAATTGATTTTTAAATCAAAGCAATGCTTCTTTAATATTAAATACAAATCTATTAAGCAACTCGACAGAAACCAAATTATTCACTACAGTTGTTGGCTTTGTTTTAAAAAAACAAATGTAGCTATAAAACGACTATATAGTGGAAGTGCCGATATTCTACACGAATATATTGCCAAGTATATTATGTACATTAAAAACGTGAAAGTGTTTGGGAATATAATACTAGGAGAGACAATACCACAATAGTTCCTATAGAAGATAAAATAACAAATTCACGTATCACGGTTTTTGTAAGTTTCTAAATTAAAATCCCAATTTCGAATAAAACTACAGTACATTCTTAGTAGGTACACGGTGGGTCGTGGGAAAAACAGTATTATTTTGTTTGTATGAAGAGTGGCATTTTTCTCACGAATGCTATAAACATAGTATTTACATCAATTTTTCAATTTTAAATAGTATTAAGGATGATCTTCTCGAAACCACAGTAAATATATTACCATATTTTTGTTTGTTTGTTGCAAAAATATATTTCAAAAGTAGATAACACGAACTATACATGTAAAGTAAACACACAATTTAAACAAGAACAATATAATCCAATTTTCACACACAATTTCATTTTGCAATCAAATCACATGTTGTTCTTCCCAATAACTGTAATTTAAATATCAAACTTTTAAACATTGCATCCTTAACTAGCCTAAAAATTAGGTACATTCTCTAAATCCTATCCTAATATTGTCTCAATAAAATTGTTTTTCAATCAAGACAAATTAAAGATTAAAATTCATTCTTCGAACTTAATGTAAATTATTTTAGAGATTTTTTAATCAAAATAGAAGTCAAATAACTTCAACATTCTTGCACATCTTGATCACATCTGATTGTGAGTTACATTGACAAATTCGTGAAATATTTATAACTTAATAAAGTAAAAACTGGCCATAGCGACTGTCAGTTTAGGTTGTTATTTTGTGAATTTATAGTGAGCCTAAGTTGAAAAAAACAGAAATCATTTTAGGTGTTTTACAGTTTTTTTTTTGGAGAGGGGGGGGGGGTTTGGGACCTCTTTATCTTCTACTTATCACCACACTACCAATTAGGTACCACTTGTGATCTACAAAGAGTTGCATGCCCAACTATTTCCAATTAATTTCCTAGGATACAATACGGTCACATAACTAATGTATGGTACAAATCTCAATTAAAAATAACAATAATACGGTCACCTTTTTTTCTTTATTTGTCTATTAATTCTCACACAAGATAGACGTTATGGACCAAATAGCAAATACAGTAAACTATTTACATGTATGAAAAATATCCAAAAATGTTAAACGCTATTATTATTATACTTCTTGTAGTATAAACGTACGGTAAAATATATATCATTATATTGTCATCGCAATGGCATAACTAAGCATATGGTCATATAAATGGATGTACACGTTTTCCACACTTGATGTGTAATATTTGTATTCAATTTTCAATTCTAATTTAACATGACCCAATGCATGGACATGAACTAGGAGAAATCAATTCCAGACTTTGTTGGATAAATATACGTGTATAAAAGTATTGTCTGGACGGATTATTTTAAAATAAATTAATTTCAAACAATAAGGCGAACGGCTTCGTCTGCACTCATAACATGTCTCAACCATTTCAAAATGTTCTCACTCGTTTTTCCTTCATTGGCGCCACTCCCAAATTATCTAATTTCTGATTCTGTCTTAAGAACTAATTTTCTCCCATACTAATATACACGGTATAATCATGTACTTGTATTTGAATGAATCATTGAAATTTAATCAATAAAAAAAAAAATTAACCTTTAAACATACGTTCAAACGCGTAGTACAATAGTAATAAGATATGAATCTCAACCCAATTAACTGGCAAATTTCGTTATAAACGTGTCTCGACTATCATTCCCAGCGCAATACTTATTTATCTTTTCGGCTTAAACACACACACCTCGTCTCTGTTTCGGTTGCGAGTCCTTTGATAGGATTTCGGTCTATTTGTCTGTCCATCACGCGTCACAGGTGCCATTCAACAAATTGCACGAGCTGCTTACAAGATTATTGTACTATTTGTATATTATATTATACACATATATATCTATCATCATCGCATTATCGCAAAATACACCCGGCGTCGACAAACAATAACGATCGTGCGGCACACACGTGCATGTCTATGTTTATAGGTATAATAAATGCATGTATGTATAATTATGATAAAAACCGAAATTGCGCAAGTAAGAGTCCTTCTCTACCTTTTTTTTTTTTTTTTTTGGCGTCGACGACACAAATTTAAGGTATGCCTTATACATATTTATATTAATAACATAAACTATATACAGCGTTATATTTAAATGGGTACGACTGCTTAGGCAATAATATATACAAGATACCTATACATCTATACGTATATAGGTATCTAGAATATGTATATATATATATATATATCCCATATAACGTTATTTTTGAGCTTGTTATTTAGCCAACTTTGAAAAAATATCTTTCATTTTAATTAAAACAAAAGAAATTTATTAAAATCCGTTTAAAATTGTGCAAGTTTTAGTAGATCAAATTGTTTTTTCAATTATGTTCAAATAACGTACTTCGAGTAAAAAATTACTTGAACAATTAAAGTAAGTACCTAACTTTTTAGTTTTTTTTTAAATTGGTTTTATAAAAAATAATACTACTTACCTAGCTAATTTCATGGTAAATATTACAAATTATATTTATTTATTTAATAAATAAACATGGATATTACTATATTAGTATTTTCTTCTATTAAATCTATTTTTTTTTTTCATTTGAATATAATGCCGAACTCTGTCCGTGACCTTCGCGACCCTATTTATGCCGACGTTTTTTTTTTAATTTAAAGAAAATTATGTTTTTAAATTAATAATTTTTCGAATTCGAAAAAAATAATGTTTCAATTATAAAAGCCGTATTTTTTTGTGTTTATAATAGGGAGTAGTGAGATTTAAAAAACGATTTTTTCTAATCAGAGTCTAACTCGGATGTGCTTAGATATAATAAAAAAATGTTGTATACATGTACAAAACCACGATATATCATGATAACGTTTTAATATTTTACCGTTAACAATCATACTTGATGGATTTTTTTTTTTTTTTTGCGTTTTAAATATCGACTATTTTGCTGTCACGTTTTGCAAGACAAAAATAAATCTTCCAAATTTTCCATCCGACCATACAGTAAAGACATTTTGGTTAAAAATTAACTTACAGCACTTTGATGACATAAGCCGTTGATATATTTATAAATGTATAAAAATATATTCGACGTCTAAGCATTTTTTTTTTTTTTACTTCCCCCCCCCTCGAACAAATTACTTAATAAATTGCTAAAAAAAAAAAAAAAAAATTATAACACGAAATATCAAAAGAAGGATTTTCAAGTGTTGATATTTTAGCTTAAATAAGACACTTATTTTCAAATTGAAAATATTTTAATTAGTTTTCAAGTTAGAATTTTTTTAATCCTACTAATCAAATGAAAAAAAAAACAATTCTCGAGGAAGTGTATGAGCTAGGGATCTGAAATTTTTGGGAATTTCTTTTTGCTAATGTATGTACATAAGTATATATGTATATACTCAATCGTTATATGCCGAATAATGATGTGTATATACTGTATATAGTTGTGAACGACGAATAGGACCAAGCTCTGCGCGGTACGCCGGTCATGCACAGTCGGATTCCGGACGCCTTCACCGACGGTAGACCATAACCCGGGTCCATCCCACATAATAAATATATTCACAGTAATATAATATACATATATTATAAAGTATATTATTTGTAATTTAAAAAAAAAAAAAATAGTTAATCGTTTTTTTAATATTCGAATCTAGTTGAAAAAAAAAAAATAATAATAATAATTAATTTTGTTCTACACCGTTAAATGTGACCAAGAAAAGCGCGAGACCACCATGACGTGTTCGGACAAAGGATACACCACCAGGATTAACATCCTTTCGGCGTGCACCCGTTCGGTCGAGGTGGCCAAACACAAACGAATGTTTACCTCAAAAAGGTGCGTAAGACGTTTAAATAAAATGTTTTTTTTTTTTAAAAACTACTATACCCGATAATTTTTGCTCGCCTCCTAGTAACGACAATAATAACAATAACAATAATATTGTCAATCTTGTCCACGCACGTACGCATGAGCACGTATTCGTTTGTACATGTGTGTACTGCCTATAATGTATAATACAATAATAATATTATTGTATCGACGATTAATAATATAATAGTAATATTTATTGTTAGGTGCAGCTATATCGAATATGTACGTACACGTTTAACGGTTTCCAGTTGCCGTGACCGAGTCGATGTATAAAGCTAAGATATAGGCTTTTGATATTAGACTTACAAAGTACACTAATTGATACTTATTTATAAACGTATGATTATGTGTTTAATCAAATGGATGACGTAATTTAAAAATAAGCAATGCGTACCATTCCGAAAAATGAAGTTCTAACTATTAAAACATTAATAATTTTTTATAACAAAATAACAAATACAAGTTTGCAAAAATATAAGTATAATTTATTAAAATCCTGTGGAATTATTCATTAGAGTTTTAGATCCTTAAGTTTAAATGACTTCCCATACTGTTATAAAATTAAAAACTACGGCACTTTTTTAATACAGTTTTGTTTCGGTATATATTTAAAAAAAAACTCATACAAGAACATTATAATACCGGATTTTGGCATATTATAAACTAATTTATTTGAATTATTCTTTATTTTCTAATACACTATCTCAATTCAGATTGATAGAACCTACTGTTATTTGTTAATCTTTTAATTAATCTCAACTATCCTATAGCTATAAATGTATTTAAAACATAAACAACCAATAAAATATGTTTAAAATCACGACTTCAAACAATTATATTATTGTTAATATTTTTGGAATAGGTATTATTTGAAAAGTTTTTATAATTTTATAAAACGATATGAATAGATAACACACGTTTTTTTTTTAATGTTCGGATAAATAAGTTACATAACTTTTGTATAGACAAACAATATTCTGTCTTTTGAAAATACATCATTTTCATTTTTCCCAAGTACAAATTTAATTTATAATCATTTCATTATTTAACACATTAAAATAACAACTTGTTTGTGTCTAGTAGTTCGTAATTAGTTAATATTATTCACTGGAAATTATTAAAAACATTCAAAAGCGGTTTAGGAGTAATGAAAAAAATAAATAGTTTTTTTTTTTTAATTTACATAAAATCGTATTTCGGTAAATCGTTTTCGTAATAGGTCAACATTGTAACATTTATTTTACCGGGAAATCTATCATTAGTATTGGTGTGTGGTAGCTAAATGGTTTTCTAACATATAAGCCTGCGCTTATGTCGTGTACAAAACATGTATTTATATCGAGATAGTACGGCCTTTTTAAGAAGAAAAAAAAAGTGAAGACGCTATTTCCACGATTATCTATGATTGCAAAAAAAAAAAAAAAACATCCGAACTTTCCATTTATTTATAAAAATTGCATAGTGAATAATATGCACAAAAAAAAACTAGAGATGAATAAAATGTGAAAGGTGAAATGCGCGGTTACCGGTTAGTAATATTGACCTTCCTCTAGAACGGATAAACTGTCTATTGTTTTGATCCGCCGCGATTTTGCATTTCCATTGAAATTAGCTCACTGCAAGTGCAATTATGTACGGTTGGATTTCAGCGATTATAGCAGTCTGCTGTGCCGGCATTAATGTGTCTTCCACCGTCTTTTTACTGTGAAATTTAATTCCATCCACTCGAATCGTCTCGAGTCGAGTACACTTCACAGTTCACGCTTTTATTATACAAACAAACCAGCAACGATAATGATGCATTTATTATTATTATTATTATTATACACCAGTATGATGCGCCGTGCAGTGACCACCATTGCATTTGACTCGTACGGATTTATTGAAATAATTGTCGGCGGCCGTCTGAGACATCAATGGAGTAATAATTTATTACAATATAATATTACTGGTTTATAAAATCGTTATTTCAATCGAACCAAAGGTACACGTAGGAAGTAAGAACACATAATATTAAATAGGACACTTTTCGCTAAGTCGGCTTGCTTGGCCGGTGCTTCTCTTCACGGGAAGCGGTTTAACGCCATCTTGACCATATTATATTATATCAGTGAAATGTAATATGTGTACAACATTTTTAGTTTCTATAACGCACAGTATTAAAATGCATTCATAGCATATGTCACTTTTGTTATCTGTGTCAAAATCCCAAGGTGTATTATAATATATGATATTATTATATTGGCGTATAGGATGATCTTTAGTTTCGGTCGGCAATAAAATGTACATAATATTAATGAGTATAATATGTGTCATAAAATGTATACATATACTTCCATATCTCATTCAGATCAAGCAACGATGGTGATATGCCGTATTACAGATGTAATTATTATTCCTTTTCAATTATATTGACTAGACGATAATAATACTAATATAAATTACAAAATGTATTTCATATTTCAATGTCATTGGAGACCCATATATAAAGTGTAATACGTTGTTTTGACAAGCGATGACAACCTTTTTTTTTTTTAAATAATTGTATTTTATATATATTTAAAAATATATATGTTTACAATCTTTATAGGTACAATACAATACAAAATGTGTGTCAAGATTTTGTAATAATATTTTAATAATAAATTATAATACTATATCGCTGTATCATCGTATTCGGTATTTCGTAATAACGCTTTCGAACTTTTCTAGCCTATCTTTTAACAATGGTTGTTATCAGTTTAAATAATCAATAATCTAAATTTTGCTGTCTCTTTTTTTTTTACTATAGGACCAGCGAACTCTTAGCACTCATGGCGCTTTCGTCGACTTTGTTTTTGTTTTTACACACCAGAGATCTTCACACGAGACTTAGATCATTGCAATCAGTGACAAATTCGGCGTCAACTTCGGGTGAGTTGATAATACTTCATCTACAATACATCAGTTGTGTAATATTATTATAGATTAATATTAGTTGCTGTAGTAATTTTATGAAATAGGGTCAAGGTAGGTATAGTCACAGGTTTATAGGATTTGAATATTATAAAATAAATTTAGAAAACAACTGACTAACAAAAACTTGGGTCTTTAAATTAACTATCAGTTTTAGTGAAAAAAAACACTAAAATAAATATTAAAACATCCTCCCCACTATAGAATGCAAAGGGTTTTAAATGTTTTCTTGAGTTTTAACGGTCGTTTGATCAGATTATATATTTTAATGAGGAATAAGAAACTGGAATTATTTTGACTTTCTTTCTTTAATTAGTAGCGAAACTGTATTTTAAAATCTAGTTCAATTTTTTAGTGTTTTTTCCTTGATCTTGTTTGAAAAGGGGAAGTATTTTGATCTAATAATTACCTAAGGTAATGCGGATCAATAGACTGGTTATGTCTTCAAATCGGTCAAGCGATTAAAAAATTCCGGATAAAAACCACAAAATATAGTAACAGAACAGTCACGCTGTGGACCGATCAGCGGTCGGTTATGTTAAATTTTGAAATCAAAAGTGACAAAGTTTGTGTAAGTTAATTTTTTCAAACAAAATCTTAACGTTGAATTTTGCAAAAAAAATAAATGTTTGTTTAATTGAATCGTGTCCGTTAGTTGGAGATTCTGCGTCCCATATGCTGATTGTCGAGAAAAAAAATCTACCGTGTTAAAAACGATGAAAGTTTTAGTATGAATCAATCAAACACTTTAATGAGATAGTAAAATATCGAATATGTAACATGAAATTCAACCTTAGGTTATTACACTTAACAATCATATTATATTTTGCTAAATTATTAATTTTGTAAAAGGTGCGAACGTGTAATTCATATTTGTAAAACATACACTCAACATTTTATTTTTGTTATTTTCTAATTACTCACAAATAAATACTCGTGATGTACACACTCTTTTTCACCGTAGAAAATCTTTTTACACATTCTAAAATGTTTATAATGCTATTTTTTTATTGCATTTGTTGTATGAATGTGTATGAACAAGTTAAAAAAATTTTAATTTCATTTTTTTTCCGTATATTTTTTAGTATTGTGGTTATATGTGTTAAACTCGATTCGTTTTAGAAACTAAACAAACCAATTATTTATACACTAAACACCGTTGCGGCAGTTTGTGCAGATGAAGTTTGATTTTAGTAAACACCTAAAAAAAAAACCGGCGTTTCTATGCCGGCCGTGTCTTTATTGTAATAATAATTAACATGTCCTAAAAAAAAAAAAAAAATAGGATTTTCATTAGATATCTTCCACGTGCGATCTACAGCTCGGTGCTCGCGGTCTCGATCCCTGGCGGTTTTCGATCAAAAACAGTTTTTCGTCTTAATCTTTTTTATTAAACATTTTTTTTTTTTTTGTTTGTTAGTGGAAAAATATACAGCTATGACCAAAATTATTATCTTGTACTGAGGCCTACTCTACGTGCAGTAAATCAATTTTCACCGACTGCGGACATATCTACACAGATATAATAATATGTGTGTGTGTTTTCACGGTATGTACTTAATAGCGTTGTGAACGACTCTCGTCGTGTATTTTTACTTTGAGAATAAGTTAGGGAAGCAAGAACGACGTCATAGTAGCTCTGCACGATTTATTCTTTATGTTCAACACCGGTAAAGACACAGAAAAGCATTAGGCAACTCGTTCACGTACCTTTCTACCTGCCTACCATCGGCTTGACAAAAGATGACCGTTTTTTTTTTTTTTTGCCGGACCACTGCGGTCATTATTATGGCCGCGCGTTGTTTTAAAAAAGAAATAACTAATGTAACAAACACCTAAATGCTTTTTTACATCTGTCTCTCCTTGTCTCGCGAAACAGACATTAGTCCAGTGCCGCCGTGCCCTACATTTATTAAAACGAGACACGATCTTTTCATTATTTGAAGAAAAAAACAATTTTTTGTTAGGTCCATTCAAAAAAACAAACCGCGCGAGTGTAGTTTACACATACATATTATATTATACACTTTCTCCGCGTGTCATCATCTCGCATAAGCATGGCGACTGATTAAATCATAGTGTAATTAAAAAATATTTCTGTACTCTACTTAGGAGACTACAATAGTTTTTTATATGTACATAAACTAGACATATAAACCTGCGTAACGTTTTTCGCATATTTCATAAGGCGGACATCTTCTTAGATAGATTGTTAGTCTTCTCTCTGTCAACGCTTCAGTCAAATAAGTTTAATGACGATCAGCAGGCTAGTATAAGCTCCCCCCCCCCTCCTTAAAGCCGCAAATCAAGGTCCTAGGATTTGAAGGTTTTAACTCTAATAAAAGTTTAGAAATAATTGGTTATGATGTAGCTTCGAGCCTTCAACCGTATTTATTATTTTCCTAACGAAAATCTTGGTTTAGCTAAGCGACTGAATCGTAAAACATATACTAAAAAGTTAATACTAATCTTCTTTGCTTTCTCTCTTTACCATAATAATCAAAGTTTTAGTTCTATACCTTGTGGGTGTAAAAAGGTGTATCTCATTTTTAGGCCAAAATAAATTCCTTGAGATTGGCTCATCTAGATCAAAGGTACAAAACTGTAGGTTTTTAATACCTGTGTGGAGTGACGTTGATTCTTTGTGAGTTAAGCGTTCAGTACTTGTGATGAAATATATTAGCTCAAGTTTCATTCGTATTCCTTAAGAGTTTTATCCCCTTCACATTGTCACAGTGTACAACGATATTATAAAATAAAATGTTCAGCTTAAGGTAATAATTTCACGTTAAATTATTTGACCCAGTTGTAATCGACAAAGGGAGATTGTAACGAGAGATTATTAAAGCCTTTTCGTAGCTTAATTTTATTTATATTAGTAATTATAAATAACAATATTTTAAGCTGTTCCGAGTGCTTTTTAAATTTTGTATAAACTAAGATGATAAAACAACACTCAAAAAATATTTTATAAGACTAACGTTTTTAATAAATACTCAATTAACTATTTTCTAACGAGATAATTAGAATAGACCGTTTTTATAAGTTAAATGTAGTTTGTGCACGAACTAATGCTTATATTTTATTGAATGAAGTACCGCCCAGGATGATAAATAAAAAAAGTGTTTCTCTAGAAAGTGGATGATTCGTGCGTCGGATTTTTGTACTAATGATCTATTTGGATCATAGTAATGACGTAGTGGTGGTTTATAAATTATAATTATTAGTTATAAATGTCTTAGAGGCTCAGTGCTGCATTGCGTCCTTGTGCCGTTGTAAACAGGAAGACATATTCTTGTGGAAAATAAACACGTTAATATAATATGTAATTAAGTAATAATTTCTAATGATTATGAAAATTGTGCGTGCAATGTGTTCATATGGGTGATGTTCATGATTACAGCTAAAAAAAGTGTTATTGACAATAAATGTATGATAAACAATTGTTTTCCTTTTTTTAAAAGGTCGCTTGGTTCTTATCACTTACAATATCAAACTAAAGAAAACATTTAGAAAATATAAACTTTTTGAAACCGCTTTGTTGGAAACACAAGTACAAAAAACATTTCTCAAAAGCATTTTCAAATATTATTTATAATCATACGGTATTTTATTGTATTAGTTTTTTTATAGTCTACCTAAATGGATACATAGTTTATATTTTACAAAATAGAACTATAGAAGGTGTCATTTATGAAAATTGTGATTTTTGGATAACCAGTTTTGAGTTTATGTAGAAGTGAGTTATATACGAAAGAAAAACGTTTAAACGTTCATACTTATTAGCATAGTGCACGCGTACATATTGAAAAATGGTAATACGTGGTACCACTCCTTGGCCGAAACATTTCCATTTGTATTATCTCATAAGCTATACGAAGAAAATCTAAAACTGGTTATCGATCGAAATATATTATTATATGTTTAATCTTTACAGAAACATGCTATTTTTTTTTTATTCGTTTTTAATTACGAATCCGTTACTGTTCGGATATGAAAAATGTTGTTTTGATACCGTACAAGGTCACGAGTACACTAACTGCAGAATAACCTTAACATAGTAAGAGGAATGCACACTGTATGCAGTAACTATATTGAAAATAAAACCGTAAACGAAAACCGACAAATTATAAAAAATAATTTCTCAAACACTTGCGTTGGTTAGTGCATGGCACAGTACGGTTATAATAACGAAAAATAATAATTATGGCTACTTGTGACGATTAACCGAAATCCGGACCTTACTCACCTTTCCCACGCACCAAGGTCGACAAGTTATTGTTATTACTATACTATTATGTATATTGTGTATACAATGTGAAGATAATATTTAGGACCAGACGCGCGCGCGCTGGACTCGTTATGGTCAATGCTTCTGAGCGTAAGACACCCGGTAGCAATTATATTCGAATAAACAAACGGAAAGGCGTATATAATTACTATATTGTGAAGATCATTGTTAGTCAAACAAGAATTAAGTCATTGACAAAAAGATTGCTCTAGTGCTCGCACGCTACGTTTCTTATGGACGCATTCGCAGACGGCCAGAACGTCGATTTAGTGATTTTTATCCACTCATTTTTTTTTATGATTTTTCGTTTTTTATTAAAACCCATGTCGTTAGTTTTTTTTTTATACTTATAGGTATAAACTAGGTTTATACTTATAAGCAGATCTGGCGATACATCTACTATGTATATAATAATTATATTATTGCAAATTGAATAACTAAAAATATTCGATTTGTATAATACCTTCCAATTTATCCAGTCACGTTTACACATTTTTTTTCTTACAATTTTTTATTATTGACCGTACGATATAATTATTACTTGTAAACCGAATATCCGGGCGATTAACTAAAGGATCGCTATAATTTTCGTTTTGCAATGTCGAATGGAGAATATTTTACATGTTTACATGTGTGGTCGCTCGCGGGTAAAATCATATTTAATGGT